CGGGGCTTTGTCAGATGACCAAAGTGACAGTGTGGGTGATGGTTAGATTGGGGCTTTGTCAGATGACCATAGTGACAGTGTGGGTGATGGTTAGACCGGGGCTTTGTCAGATGACCATAGTGACAGTGTGGGTGATGGTTAGATCAGGGCTTTGTCAGATGACCATAGTGACAGTGTGGGTGGTGGTTAGATCGGGGCTTTGTCAGATGACCATAGTGACAGTGTGGGTGATGGTTAGATCAGGGCTTTGTCAGATGACCATAGTGACAGTGTGGGTGGTGGTTAGATCGGGGCTTTGTCAGATGACCATAGTGACAGTGCGGGTGGTGGTTAGATCGGGGCTTTGTCAGATGACCATAGTGACAGTGTGGGTGGTGATTAGATAGGGGCTTTCTCAGATGACCATAGTGACAGTGTTGGTGATGGTTAGATTGGGGCTTTCTCAGATGACCATAGTGACAGTGTGGGTGGTAGTTAGATCGGGGCTTTGTCAGATGACCATAGTGACAGTGTGGGTGATGGTTAGATCCGGGATGTGTCAGATGACCATAGTGACAGTGTGGGTGATGGTTAGATCGGGGCTTTGTCAGATGACCATAGTGACAGTGTGGGTGATGGTTAGATTGGGGCTTTCTCAGATGACCATAGTGACAGTGTGGGTGGTAGTTAGATCGGGGCTTTGTCAGATGACCATAGTGACAGTGTGGGTGATGGTTAGATCAGGGCTTTGTCAGATGACCATAGTGACAGTGTGGGTGATGGTTAGATCAGGGCTTTGTCAGATGACCATAGTGACAGTGTGGGTGATGGTTAGACCCGGGCTTTGTCAGATGACCATAGTGACAGTGTGGGTGGTGGTTAGATCGGGGCTTTGTCAGATGACCATAGTGACAGTGTGGGTGATGGTTAGATCGGGGCTTTGTCAGATGACCATAGTGACAGTGTGGGTGGTGGTTAGATCGGGGCTTTGTCAGATGACCATAGTGACAGTGTGGGTGATGGTTAGATTGGGGCTTTGTCAGATGACCATAGTGACAGTGTGGGTGATGGTTAGATCGGGGCTTTGTCAGATGACCATAGTGACAGTGTGGGTGATGGTTAGATCGGGGCTTTGTCAGATGACCATAGTGACAGTGTGGGTGGTGGTTAGATCGGGGCTTTGTCAGATGACCATAGTGACAGTGTGGGTGATGGTTAGATCAGGGCTTTGTCAGATGACCATAGTGACAGTGTGGGTGGTGGTTAGATCGGGGCATTGTCAGATGACCATAGTGACAGTGTGGGTGGTGGTTAGATCGGGGCTTTGTCAGATGACCAAAGTGACAGTGTGGGTGATGGTTAGATTGGGGCTTTGTCAGATGACCATAGTGACAGTGTGGGTGATGGTTAGACCGGGGCTTTGTCAGATGACCATAGTGACAGTGTGGTTGATGGTTAGATCAGGGCTTTGTCAGATGACCATAGTGACAGTGTGGGTGGTGGTTAGATCGGGGCTTTGTCAGATGACCATAGTGACAGTGTGGGTGATGGTTAGATCAGGGCTTTGTCAGATGACCATAGTGACAGTGTGGGTGGTGGTTAGATCGGGGCTTTGTCAGATGACCATAGTGACAGTGCGGGTGGTGGTTAGATCGGGGCTTTGTCAGATGACCATAGTGACAGTGTGGGTGGTGATTAGATAGGGGCTTTCTCAGATGACCATAGTGACAGTGTTGGTGATGGTTAGATTGGGGCTTTCTCAGATGACCATAGTGACAGTGTGGGTGGTAGTTAGATCGGGGCTTTGTCAGATGACCATAGTGACAGTGTGGGTGATGGTTAGATCCGGGCTGTGTCAGATGACCATAGTGACAGTGTGGGTGATGGTTAGATCGGGGCTTTGTCAGATGACCATAGTGACAGTGTGGGTGATGGTTAGATTGGGGCTTTCTCAGATGACCATAGTGACAGTGTGGGTGGTAGTTAGATCGGGGCTTTGTCAGATGACCATAGTGACAGTGTGGGTGATGGTTAGATCGGGGCTTTGTCAGATGACCATAGTGACAGTGTGGGTGATGGTTAGATCAGGGCTTTGTCAGATGACCATAGTGACAGTGTGGGTGATGGTTAGACCCGGGCTTTGTCAGATGACCATAGTGACAGTGTGGGTGGTGGTTAGATCGGGTCTTTGTCAGATGACCATAGTGACAGTGTGGGTGGTAGTTAGATCGGGGCTTTCTCAGATGACCATAGTGACAGTGTGGGTGGTAGTTAGATCGGGGCTTTGTCAGATGACCATTGTGACAGTGTGGGTGATGGTTAGATCGGGGCTTTGTCAGATGACCATAGTGACAGTGTGGGTGGTGGATAGATCGGGGCTTTGTCAGATGACCATAGTGACAGTGTGGGTGGTGGATAGATCGGGGCTTTGTCAGATGACCATAGTGACAGTGTGGGTGATGGTTAAATCGGGGCTTTGTCAGATGACCAAAGTGACAGTGTGGGTGATGGTTAGATCAGGGCTTTGTCAGATGACCATAGTGACAGTGTGGGTGGTGGTTAGATCGGGGCTTTGTCAGATGACCATAGTGACAGTGTGGGTGGTGGTTAGATCGGGGCTTTGTCAGATGACCATAGTGACAGTGTGGGTGATGGTTAGACCCGGGCTTTGTCAGATGACCATAGTGACAGTGTGGGTGGTGGTTAGATCGGGGCTTTGTCAGATGACCATAGTGACAGTGTGGGTGATGGTTAGATTGGGGCTTTGTCAGATGACCATAGTGACAGTGTGGGTGGTGGTTAGATAGGGGCTTTCTCAGATGACCATAGTGACAGTGTGGGTGGTAGTTAGATTGGGGCTTTGTCAGATGACCATAGTGACAGTGTGGGTGATGGTTAGATCGGGGCTTTGTCAGATGACCATAGTGACAGTGTGGGTGATGGTTAGATTGGGGCTTTGTCAGATGACCATAGTGACAGTGTGGGTGGTGGTTAGATCAGGGCTTTGTCAGATGACCATAGTGACAGTGTGGGTGATGGTTAGATTGGGGCTTTCTCAGATGACCATAGTGACAGTGTGGGTGGTAGTTAGATCGGGGCTTTGTCAGATGACCATAGTGACAGTGTGGGTGATGGTTAGATCGGGGCTTTGTCAGATGACCATAGTGACAGTGTGGGTGGTGGTTAGATCGGGGCTTTGTCAGATGACCATAGTGGCAGTGTGGGTGATGGTTAGATCGGGGCTTTGTCAGATGACCATAGTGACAGTGTGGGTGGTGGTTAGATCGGGGCTTTGTCAGATGACCATAGTGACAGTGTGGGAGATGGTTAGATCAGGTCTTTGTCAGATGATTAAAGTGACAGTGTGGGTGATGGTTAGATCGGGGCTTTGTCAGATGACCATAGTGACAGTGTGGGTGATGGTTAGATCGGGGCTTTGTCAGATGACCATAGTTACAGTGTGGGTGATGGTTAGATCGGGGCTTTGTCAGATGACCATAGTGACAGTGTGGGTGATGGTTAGATCGGGGCTGTGTCAGATGACCATAGTGACAGTGTGGGTGATGGTTAGATCGGGGCTTTGTCAGATGACCATAGTGACAGTGTGGGTGGTGGTTAGATCGGGGCTTTGTCAGATGACCATAGTGACAGTGTGGGTGATGGTTAGATCGGGGCTTTGTCAGATGACCATAGTGACAGTGTGGGTGGTGGTTAGATCGGGGCTTTGTCAGATGACCATAGTGACAGTGTGGGTGATGGTTAGATCGGGGCTTTGTCAGATGACCATAGTGACAGTGTGGGTGGTGGTTAGATAGTGGCTTTCTCAGATGACCATAGTGACAGTGTGGGTGGTAGTTAGATCGGGGCTTTGTCAGATGACCATAGTGACAGTGTGGGTGATGGTTAGATTGGGGCTTTGTCAGATGACCATAGTGACAGTGTGGGTGATGGTTAGATCAGGGCTTTGTCAGATGACCATAGTGACAGTGTGGGTGGTGGTTAGATAGGGGCTTTCTCAGATGACCATAGTGACAGTGTGGGTGGTAGTTAGATTGGGGCTTTGTCAGATGACCATAGTGACAGTGTGGGTGATGGTTAGATTGGGGCTTTGTCAGATGACCATACTGACAGTGTGGGTGATGGTTAGATCGGGGCTTTGTCAGATGACCATAGTGACAGTGTGGGTGATGGTTAGATTGGGGCTTTGTCAGATGACCATAGTGACAGTGTGGGTGGTGGTTAGATCGGGGCTTTGTCAGATGACCATAGTGACAGTGTGGGTGATGGTTAGATTTGGGCTTTCTCAGATGACTATAGTGACAGTGTGGGTGGTAGTTAGATCGGGGCTTTGTCAGATGACCATAGTGACAGTGTGGGTGATGGTTAGATCGGGGCTTTGTCAGATGACCATAGTGACAGTGTGGGTGGTGGTTAGATCGGGGCTTTGTCAGATGACCATAGTGGCAGTGTGGGTGATGGTTAGATCGGGGCTTTGTCAGATGACCATAGTGACAGTGTGGGTGGTGGTTAGATCGGGGCTTTGTCAGATGACCATAGTGACAGTGTGGGAGATGGTTACATCAGGTCTTTGTCAGATGATTAAAGTGACAGTGTGGGTGATGGTTAGATCGGGGCTTTGTCAGATGACCATAGTGACAGTGTGGGTGATGGTTAGATCGGGGCTTTGTCAGATGACCATAGTTACAGTGTGGGTGATGGTTAGATCGGGGCTTTGTCAGATGACCATAGTGACAGTGTGGGTGATGGTTAGATCAGGTCTTTGTCAGATGATTATAGTGACAGTGTGGGTGATGGTTAGATCGGGGCTTTGTCAGATGACCATAGTGACAGTGTGGGTGATGGTTAGATCGGGGCTTTGTCAGATGACCATAGTGACAGTGTGGGTGATGGTTAGATCAGGGCTTTGTCAGATGACCATTGTGACAGTGTGGGTGATGGTTAGATCAGGGCTTTGTCAGATGACAGCTTGGATGATGATTAGGGACATGTTTGTTTGTCAGATGACCGTAGTGGGAGTGCGGATTATGGATGGGAACATTTGTCAGCGACTGATCTGGAACAAGTCTTCAAGATTGGCAAAGTGACTGTAACTCTGAAACCAGGAAACATCACAGGAGAAAAAGCCAACTGCATTGTCAATAGCACAAACAGTCAACTGAACCTTAAACAAGGTAACCTACCCATATATTGGTGCATATCATTCATTAGTTGTTGTGTGCATTTATGCCCCACTTCTGATCTCGCTTTGTTTTATCTGAACATGTAATTGTATTGCCCAATACACCTCTTGTTTTCACTACCTACACAATAACCAATTGTGCTCCCCTTTTTGCTGATCAGTTTCTTTATGCATATGAAACAGAATTTCTGCTCGGATTTCTCAAGCCAAAAGAAGTGAATTTGGCAAGAAGTTTAACTTAAGCTTCAGGTATATGAATGATCTGATATCGTTCAGTAACCATCAAATAGCCAATTCCATTCCACTGATTTACCCACCTGAACTAGAAATAAAGGAGACCAGTGAGACCGCCTCATCTGTTCCATATTTAGATTAGTGCATCAAGATTCAAAGTGACAAAACACTCCCCACAAGATTGTCTGAGAAGAGGGATGACTTCTACTTTCCAGTAGTCAACTTTCCCTTTATGTCAAAGGGGCAGTGGGGTAGCCTGGCTGCTTGTCAAGCCGAAGACCCGGGTTTGATTCCCCACATGGGTACTATGAAGTGAAGCCCATTTCTGGTGTTCTGAGCATCATAAAACTCTTGCTCAAAAGTTCTTTGATCAAGGTTATACCAAATTCATAGCCTCAGTACAGTTTTCAAATAGTTTTATGGTAGACATGTGGAGGATATTTCCAAATTTGATGCACCAGTGACGGTGATATGTCTGATGCAATTTCTTTTTTTGAAGTGTCCTATATGTTCCCGTGTTTCTTCAGTTGAACAATTGACTTGCCTTTGCATGTGTCTGTGATGGATACCATTGGTGGGGCAGGATATGGTCATCTTTTCCAAACATCACTGTCACCACTATTTGATAGTGATTCATAAACTCATGCTCATGATACAGTCGGAGCAGGGTTGCTGACCCTCTCTACAAACTGCACATTAACTTGATGCAGTGTTAACAGTGATGCATAAAGGTCACATTAAAGGGAAAAACTATATAGATTGAGGGATACGTTAGTTATGCCCATCCTCATTGTTTCGGCCAATACAGTTACATTGTTACACCTCCATAGCATTGACACCCTGAAACGTTTGGTTTTAACACTTACATATTCATGTTATAACTACCACAGAGAACAAACTTCTTATTGCAGATACCGTATTTGACGTAATAAGCGCCCCGCTCTAATAATTGCCCACGGCGATATTTGCTAATATATTTGCTATTGAACAATACCAATTAGCACCCCTTCCGATTGATCAATGTACACAACACTTATTTATTTGCGTGTAATACGCACTCGTGTGTTATATGCAACCTTAATTTGGGCAATTAAATTCTGGAAAAATGTATCTCTCGTATATAAACATTTCAGGCAGTCAGCAAAAACCACAAAATCTATCTTTCAACTCTGTTTTTTCTTTCACCAAAATAATATTCTAATAAGAGCCCCCTATTTCTAATTTTGAGAGCGCCCTAGGCGCTTATTACGTCGAATACGGTACATATATTTTTTAATCATATGTGGGTTAGTGAATGTCTTTGTAACTTATCTGGAGTTAACTGCCAAATTGTTATGTGTACAAGAATAAATTTTAACAAGTTTTCATATCACCATGTTTATATTGACTTATTGATATGCTGACTTAGTGTAACCATTTTTTAGTTACTTTTAGAGTTTTTTTCACAGGTGCTGTATCCAAGTCTATTTTAGAAGCTGGTGGAAACGATCTAGAAAAAGAACTGATTCTTAAAAGTGAGAATGCTTATTACTTGATAATGATCAGATGACTTTCTGTTGCTTCGGAAAAACATATCTGCTACATATCCATTTTGAATATCTTATCTACCCTCAAACATTAATGAAAACTAATCTAAAATCTTAAGCAAGTCCTTAGTAATGGTTACAATTGTAAATATATTTGGAAACCATTTTGTACCTTTTATTGTTACTCAAATTCATTTCAACTGATTGATGTTTCATAAATCATTACAGGTTTATTTTGACAATTTGATAAGTTACTATTTTTACTAATCTGAGTTGGCAAATTCAGGGATCAGTTATGATAGGTCCTCATGATATTTTGCTTTAATATACCCAAACCATAACTTTCTCCTTGATTGCTAACCACGTCAGTAAGACACAATAAAATGATCTGGTGCAGACAAAGGAGTATTCTTACTGTCATCCCTTGAGAATATGGAGCAACCATTGCATTGTTTTGTTCTTATGTTGTCACAATGTTCTACACAAAGGAAGTCCAAGCATTTTGACAAGACATGACATCACAAGTCAGGCTGTGTTAAGGTTACCTTTGAAGCCCCTTGTGATTTAACGCTTCACCCTCCAAGTCTTGTGTCAAGTTTTCCATCTAAAATACATTGTTTTTATAATAGTGGAACCGCACCACGTTATTAAGCAATGTTCCAGAACAGCATTTCAAACTGCTTACTGATTGGGGTTGCAAAGAAGTGCATCAAAATGAATATTATCTCTCATGGTGATGTTGTTGTCAGTGACAGTTATGGGATATAGTGTAATGTACATTTGATGCAGCTGGAGGAACAATCAGAATAAAGGATTCTAAATGTCACACATAATGTTGACTTTCTTTTGTAGAGAGTGATATGAAGAACAATGGAATAGCCGTTACAACAGCAAAAGGTCTTCCAGCTGACTATATTATCCATTTATCAAGAGAACACTTTCAAGACTGGCAGCCAGCAATAGTCCAGTGTTTGAAGGAGGCTAGCAAACAGAGACTTCAGTCCATTGCCTTTCCTGCCCTTGGAACAGGTAGGAGTTATCAATCATTTCTATCTGATTTATCCATAATAATTAGATAACAAATTGTAGGCTGTTCTGTGTGCAAGTTCCTTCATCAATGAAATACTGAGGAATATATATTTGAGCAATTGTTCTGAGTGTTGATGTCATCCCAGTGGGTTTCCCAGTGTCGTAACCTATGGGCACTGGTTCTTGGATGTTTTGTTGGTTAAAAGATTTTAAAACCATGTGATACATTAATTTATTCTAGAATTGGCTGTGAGTAGGCCTACTCTAACAGTGATATAAATCTCCTCTTCCTGTCAAAGGATGATCAACTGATATACTCACACTTGAGCATGGGAATATCACATATATCCACTGGTCAAAGTTCCAGGCCACTGGTCATGGCTCAAGGTCAGGGTAGCCTGATACATCTTGGCTTGAGGAGATCACTTAACATTCTTATAAAACAGTTAGCAATTTCTGACATGGGTTTTTATACCCTCGTGATCACCAGGACCAAAACTTGAAGTGAGTTTGTATGACATGGCACATTGTCCTTTGTCTGTCCATCCATCTGTCTATCTAGCATCCTGATATACATTCATCATTTTAAATTGAATTACATTTATCTTTATGTTTATTAAATGGAAGAAAAATGAATTTTTTGAAATTCTTTTAAATGTTCTCATAAAAAGCACAAAGTCTAGGAATCCGAAACACGCTGGGATCACAATTTGTTTTTGCTGGGAAAGTAAACAATTTAATCTTTTTACAACTTCAAAAATCTTTTAGAATCGTCTTCCTCTGAGAAACCAAAAGTCAAGAGATTGGAAATTTATGAAGATTTTTAACCAACATCTTTTACTTGAATATGTTTTTGGCAAGGAATTAATTATCTTTTATTCATATTCTGTTCATGTATGTTTGTTACCATCTCAATACTCTTTAATGTTTCAAGATAATTACTTTGAGATTGTACTTTCATCTCACATCAAACAGACCACATTACACAACTAATTAATGGCCTTACAACAAAGAGTTCTCTCAAAAGATTTGATCTTACAGCTTTGTACACCACTATCCCACATGACAAAACTTCCTTGATCATGGGGCTTTTGTTACTGAGGGTGGTTACCGGAGATGTAGTAAAATGTCTCTCTTCAGAGGTTCAGGACAAATTGTCAATACTGAAACATATGCTATTTGAAGTTTACCTAGAAAACAATATGTAAAATGTTGGCATTCCTCAATGATAACGTCTACGTAAAATGTGGGAGTACGACATTGTGGCAGGAAGTAGGCATAGCCAAGAGCACCAATTGTGCTCCCCTTCTTGCTGATCTGTTTCTTAATGCATATTAATCGGAATTTCTGCTCAGATTGGCAAAGTCAAAACAAGTGAATTTGGCCATGAAGTAGGGGTCTGGAAATGGTCATATGTGCCGGACATGTCCGACTGGGAATCTCAAATGTCCGATTTAAAATATTGCTTACCGAACACTTAAATTGTTCTGTCCGGACATTTTAAAAAAACAAACAACGCTGCCTTAGGGGTCCAAATAAATGATGAGCGTTATCGTATCACTTCAAGGGCATGAAGTATAACTTAAGGTTAAGGCATATCAATGATTTGGTATTGTTCAATAACCATCATAAAAACAATTCCCTTCCACTGGTTTACCCACCTGAACTAGAAGTAAAGGAGACCAGTCAGGCCATCTTGTCTGTTTCATATTTAGATCTATGCATAAAGATTCAGAGTGACAAAACATTCTCCACAAGACTGTATGACAAGAGGGATGATTTCAACTTTCCAATCGTCAACTTTCCCTTTATGTCGAGCAATTTTCCAGCAGCTTCAGCCTTTGGTGTTTACATTTTGAGGGAATCGAACATGCTCTTTATACAAAGATTTCAGAAGTTGCTCAGAAGTTGCTCAGAAGTTGCTCAGAAGTTGTTTGATCAAAGTTACAACATTCCATGCCTCAGAAAAGCTTATGGTAGTACTAGTAGACATGTGGAGGACATTTCCCAATTTGAGGAATCAGTGTCAGAAATGATGTCCTATGCAAATTTTGATTTGTGCCATATGTTCCCTCATTTTGAATGTAACCATGGTAACTGGTGAGCAAACAGTGCATTGGGGCTATTTGTTTTCTAATTTCTGTTAGTTTCATAATTTGGAGCTGTTTCCTTATGTAGGTGATTTTCAGGCCAAGTCTCATTCCATGGTTTCAGTTTCTGTATGTGGCTATGATGTTCATAAAAATTATCAAAGCCTCGTCATGTGGCATTTATCACAAACCATAAAATATCCACTTTACTTCAGCCATGGTACATAAAACTGTTCCCTAACTCAATCTTATTGTTCTAGGCATGTTTAACACAAAACCAGAGGACATGGCAAAGACATTTGTAGCTGCTCTCGATGACTACCAACAGTCAACAAAGAAAATTGTCGAAGATGTTCGGATAGTTATCTTCGTGAAGACCATGTTTGAACCTTTCTTCGCTGGGGTCATTGAAGCTGTGACAGCCAGAAATGAGGGGAAAAAAGGACTATTGCGGAAGGCAATGGGTAAGTGAGAAAGTCTTGATAAATATCTTTTTAATTTTGATGAAGTCAATACAAGAAACTTTATCAATTGAATGAAATTTTCTGATGGTCAGGATGGGCAAATGAATGTTGCATTTTTGCCGTATTGAAGAAATTTACATTACGTTTCCAAATCAACTGACACATACAGTCAAATCTCGTTGATCCCACATTCGTTAATCCGACAATCAGCTTTATCCGACACTAATGATGGCGACCGATTAAATCAGTGCTATTTAGACCCGTTAATCTGACAGTCTCGCACTCCGACTCTGACACACCTAATTTGCAACGAATTACCGAAATTACTCATTAATCAGTCTCATGAATCCAACACAGTGATCGGTGTACTCTGTGGTCATCTGCCCGAGAGTACACAGCCTGTGTTTTGATGCGAGACAAGCTGGCTGGTAGCTGCATATTACAACGGCTGCAGAGATAAACTTGCTTAACAATAAACAATTAATGTTTGTATCGTTATCTATCGTGTAGTTGTCCGATTTTCGATCATGAACGTTGATACTACTTTGTTTCGTTTATCCGACATACACGAAAATCTGACATAATTATATGCAACCAACCATCTCGGATTAACAGGATGACTGTATTTCAATAAATATTGGGCTATCCGTGCCCTGATTTGGGACCTTATGTGATGGCAGATATGTCTGCAAAACTATGGCCTGTTTTTTAACCTTATTTCCTTGCAAAAGTAAGACTTTGTGATCTATAGTATGCCACTTTAAGATACCTGTGAAGATCTGGGTATGAATGGGTCTTCAGCAACCCATGCTTGCTGTAAAAGGCGACTATTCTTGTCGTTAGAGACAACTAACGGGATCGGGTGGTCAGGCTTGCTGACTTGGTTGATGCATGTCATCGATCCCAATTGTGTGAATCGATGCTCATGATATTAATCACTGGATTGTCTGGTCCAGACTCGATTATTTACAGACCGGCATCATATATGATATAGCTGGAATATTGCTGAGTGCGGTGTTCAACAACAATCCAATACAAAACCACTTTAAGAAACATTTTTCTTCTACTTTTCTTTGCTATTTTCTTACACATTTCTTCCTGTCTGGTAACAACCCATGAACAATTGACTAAAAGTAGTGACTTGACTAATATCTAAAATAAACAGATGGTTATTTTGTTTACATATAATCATGGCAATGATATATGTATTATGTTTTGGCAACAATATGACTTTATATCATCATGAATAAAACTGTAAATAGCAAATGTTGTAATTGGAAATGCCTGCCACTCAAAGCAGCTGTCACCTTGGTCATTTTCAAGAATCGATACCGGGTAGATGCTTTCACAATGTACAGTGACCATGAATTAATCACAAGATTCCATTTGGATCAAACAGGATTCCTTTTTTATGACTGATCTGGTAAGAGACTATTTGTTCTCACTCACTAAAAGAATAGCACCTGAGCTTAAAATTGCAATTACCTTGCGCTATTTGGCAAAAATCTGATCACTGTAATTACCACCTGTGCCACTAAGCTGTCTCTTGAAAGCAGACATCTCCTCCGCTTACTTTGACTACATGTTGTACCAGCACGTTTCACAATCCTCCATTGATCGTACAGCATTAGGACAAACAGCCTTGACACCTTGCTGCCACCTCCCCCCCATGTTTCCTTCTTCATCCTTGAGGGCGGTTGGGTAGCCTAGTGGTTAAAGCGTTCGCTCATCACGCCGAAGACCCGGGTTCGATTCCCGACATGGGTACAATGTGTGAAGCCCATTTAAGGTGTCCCCCGCCGTGATATCGCTGGAATATTGCTCAAAGCGGCATTAAACCATACTCACTCACTCACTCTTCATCCTTGATGGCACTTGCAACTAGAACTTGTTCTAGATATTTCCACTCAGCAAGAAGTTGGGTCAGGAGCAAGGTCTGGTCAGATGACCAGTTTGGTTTGCTTTTTGAACCATTTGTGTTTCAGAAGTCATTGTCAGAAGTGTTGACAGATGACAGATGTAAACTGCTTGTTTACTTCATGTGATACAAAATCCTTCCCCTGAATCTGTAAAATTGGGATTTCCCTGGTTACAACTAATCTCCAAACTATGAGCCTGTTCCGCAATTCGACCAACCCAAAACAAAATAGCACTGTAGCTTTCATGTTGTTTATATTTCTGGTTAATTGCATTAAAATCAAATGCCATTAAAGTGAAATACTGACTCATTTATGCAACCTGCACTGCTTGTATGACTATGTTGTACAAAATATGTTGGTAGATGTTGGAATATATATGTGCATTTTGATCAACAGACTTCTTCACTGGTGGTAGTGGTGGAAGTAGACATGAGGCAGGATCTTCTGGATCTACACCAGGAACTGTTGATTCTGCACCTTCCGACGTGACCCTCCACTTCTTCTATGATGATGACATGCACCTTGACAGGGCTATTCAGAAGCTGGAAAAGACATACAGGGAATCAGTAGCAGATCAAGTATTCCAAGACCCGGGTTTGAAAGACCTGTCGAAGGCTCAGGTTATTCATGATTATGCTTTCATTTCCTATTGTACAAAGCCATGGACATACTAAGGTTGACTTACCCGTGAAGATCCGGGGTAGAATAGGCCTTCAGCAACCCATGCTTGCCGTAAAAGGTGACTATGAGGCGATTAACAGGATCGGGTGGTCAGGCTTGCTGACTTGGTTGATGCATGTTATCAATCTAAATTGGGTGGATCGATGCTCATGATATTAATCACTGGATTGTCTTGTCCAGATTCGATTATTTACAGACTGCTGTCATATAGCTGGAATATTGCTGAGTGCAGCGTTAAACAACAAACCAACCAAACTCTGAACCTCACAGGATGTACAAGGAATTGTGTAAGGCTGAAAAAAAAAACAGTCTTGGTTCTCAGGCACCGCCCGCATCATCATAAAGTTCGCCGCACGTTTCGTTTTCATTTCAATTTTTAAGAAAAATCAAAAAAATCCTCAAATACTTTAAGTCCAACGATGGTCAAATACTGTATTCCAGTAATTTACTCATCAAGGAATACATTTATGTAGGGAGGCCCTTTGCCAGGTTGATTGTACACAATTGTTTATTGATTACACAACTCTTTATTGGTTACATACTAGTTTGAACAACCAAAAAAAGAAAAAAAGACATCGCCCGCCCGCACTATATTTTCAGAAAACATTGCCTGAGAACCCCAATTCTTTTAATTTTTTTAAACCTAATAGTGAAATCTTTTCGCTAACATTACATGATGTCATTAAGGTATTTCTCCACAAAAACTTGAGTAAATTGTTTCGGTCTGACAAGTCAGTAAAATAAGCAGGGGCCCAGGACCCCCATCCTGTGCCTGTGACATCAGCAACACCAAAAATCACGAGAATCCACGATATGACCTGACAGAGAATCTCATAGTAGTTCAGTAGGCATTTCTCAGGAGAGAGAACATTCCATTAGCACTGAATCTTTGGCAATGAAGAAAGTGGTTCAAAAGTTTCTGACATCTGATCAAAAACACACTAGGCACAAAATGTATCATGATAATCTAGCTATGTTTGAAATTAATCCAGAAAGGTTCTTGGAAGGATTTTTCCAAACAATAACCAAAATGGTGGAAACATTATCATTACCACAACCAAAATAGGCAAAGAGTGTACCATCAGCTGGAAAGGTTATGTTTTCCATATTCTGGGATGCTGAGTTTGTCATCATGGTGGGCTGTCTTCCAAAAGGTCTGACAATACAATAAACAAAGCATGACATCTATCAGTCAAATGATTAACTATTGTATTCATTTTTGTATGAGAGAAGGGAGCTTCTTTCAGTGGCATTTAGAAGTTGGTGTGATGAAGTAAGATGAGTTCTATGCATGAACAACTTCTTTATTACAATAAGTGCGATGTTTCGGTGTAGATCCTAACACCTTTTTCACTTCACTGGTTACATGTGTAGTTAACTTTTGCATTTTGACCATGCTCCTAAATTCTTTCTAAATGCCTTCCTTCCAATGTAAACATCTTGCCCTTGGAAATCACAGGACCAGTGCAGCTGTTACTTCACAATCCTGTTCCAACCAATGGAACCTGAATTTGTTAAAGGGGTTTCATCCAATTTTCAATGTGGCCTCCAAGATATTCATAGTGTACATGTATTTGCTTAGTATCTATGTTTTACAATGTGACATGGGCATTACTTGATTGTCTGAAGGTCAATAAATGAGGTAATTATGACTCTCACCTGTTTTTCCTTTAGAGATGTGTGTGTTTTGAGGAATACTTAGTCATTCTTTTGTGAGAAATATTAGGGTGTAAAAGAAAGGAATTCATTAAGATTATGACTCAAGAACAATTTACTGTATGTCAATGAAACAAGGTTCATGTCATCTTCAACGATACACTTCCTAAATTTATCTGCCGACTCTAAATTTTGCTGAAATTAAAAATAATTCTGACCCTATATTAATAAATGTGTATCAATGTTTTAAAAACAAACTTGTTTTACATGTAGAAACGTAAAGAAGTTGTATGTGTTTGCAAGGATTATATAAACTGGCTATCTCATGTAAACATTACTCAGACTCTCCATGCCCTGACATCTATCGGTCAAATGATGAACTATTGTATTCATTATTGTATGGCAAGGAAGGTTACTCCATTTCCCTTTGCCAAACCGCCGTGTTTGCCACTCTTTTGACAGAAGATGTTTTTATTTTTAAAAACCTGTTTCAGGAGAGAGAACTGGACAATTTAAAGAATAAGTATCAAATTGATCTGGACTACAACCGGAAGTTGGGTCGAGTGAGGCTCCAGGGTTTGCCTGGGGATGTTGTGTCTGCTATGGGAGCACTTCACAAACTTACTCTGGGGGTACAACGCCAAAAACAAGAGACAGAAAAGGCTGAGATTGTATCCTCATTTGTTCAGTGGAAATATGTGGAAACAGATCAAAATGGGAGCGATGTTCACAGAGATTATGACAAAATATCCAACCAAATAATTGAAGAAGCATACAAGAGCAAGAAACCCTCCGTCACGCTAAGTACAACCGATAATACGGTTTATATAATAGATTTCAAAAACATGGAAGAGTATCCTTTGAAGAACACAAGTGACAAAGCAGCCATCATCAGGAAAGACATGATTCAAGGTAAGTTTTAGAAAAACTACATGTTAATATAGGATATTTTGAGAGTTCATTCATTGTCTGTTCATCTGTACTAATACATCTGACCCATGAAGATCCAGGGTAGAATAGGTCTTCAGCAAACCATGCTTGCCGTAAAATGCGACTATGCTTGTCATAAGAGGTGACTAACAGGATCATGTGGTCAGCCTCGCTGACTTGATTGATGCATGTCATTGTATCCTAATTGCGTGGATCGATGTTCATGATGTCAACCACTGGATTGTCTGGTTAAGACTCGATTATTTACAGACTGCCTTCATATACCTGGAATATTGCTGACCACGGGGGTAAACAACAAACATGCAAACAAACAAATACATCTGTGCTTTCATATTATTTATTTCAGTGTGAATTATGTGATAAACAAACCTCTAGCATTTATGTTTTTTTGGTTTCATAATCATACAAATACCACCATGTTCTAGTTGATATTGATCAGAAGAGTTTAGGTATTGCTGTTTTTAGATTAATTGATTGCTTTATCAATATCGAAAAAAACAGACCCTTAAGGTCTGGAATATACTGTCAACCACTTGGTAATGAGGTTCTGTTTTTTTGAAAAGACAATCAATAATTATAAAACACATTTTAAGGAAAGAAAGAATATTATGCTATATACTTTACCTGTCATTTAGGTCTAACATGGACTAAAAGGTTTAGACATGACCACATGAGTTTTTCAGTCCGAGATGACAGTCCAAGAAATGTTTGTTTGTTGTTTAACGCCCCACTCAGCAATATTCTAGCTATATGACGGCGGTCTGTAAATAATAGTCTGTTTGTTTGTTGTTTAACGCCCCACTCAGCAATATTCTAGCTATATGACGGCGGTCTGTAAATAATAGTCTGGAGTCTGGACCAGACAATCCAGTGATTGACATCATGAGCATCGATCCACGCAATTGGGATACGATGACATGCATCAACCAAGTCAGCGAGCCTGACCCCTGATCCTGTTAGTCGCCTTTTATGACAAGCATAGTCGCCTTTTCCCAATCTTCACAGGTCTCCAAGAAATGAGAAACTTACTTGTAGGTTTTCAAGTACATGTAGTGTTATTTAATGAACCAAGAAGTCACATCTGGAACTATATGTGGGCTCTATTTGATGGTCAGTAATACTATAGGCTTGATAGACTGTGTGAACTGGTCCTTGAGACCAAGAAATTGGTGGCTAATTACAACATGATATGTAAGTTATCTCATCTGTCTTACATACACATTATTTTCTTGGTTAAGACTTAAGACCATGTGATGCAGCGTTAGAAATTGGCACTAGTCCTTGCCAAACTGCCTATTTGTTAAGGCATCATAAGGACTAGTAGAAATTTGCCATTTGTAAGGGCTTTGCTACACGTTATCATTATATGGACTAGCGGACTGAAACTGTTAGTTTCTGCCTCAGTGGTGCATGTGGGGCAGGGGACCATCAGCAGGATGGGGTGACAAGAGTTGCCCGGACCCTCGGTTTAGTAATTTAGGATAATAATACATACAGAAATAACTCTGAACAAAGTTAATAATATATATTACTAACATATATTTAACATGGTCACACTGTCATATTATGATACATTTTTGTAATGACAATAACACACAAGCAACTATTATGTATTTAAGAAATAAGTTTGCTCTGTATCCCCATGTGTAGGTTATTAAGTATAATTTTGCCCAGAACTATTATAGTTAAAGATGAGGATGCTTGCAAAACTATGCCTTATTACGCTACACATGGGGCAAGAGCAAACTTTATTACTTTTATAAGGTGCCGAAATTAAAAGTCTAATAAACGGTGATGTAAATTGAAAATCCTCGAACAGGGCTAACTGACAAGCTGTTCCATATAATTGCTTGCACCCTTACATTTAGAAACAAACTATGTATAAAACATAAGATAACACCACTAAAATGGTTAGTTTATGGTTAATTAACTCACTTTTTATTATCTGCATGTCAGTGAGGGATTATGCACAGCACATGCAGCAAGAAAAGAATATAATTTTTGTATATTAATTTGCTCAAAGGGGCACTGATCTAACGCAATTCCCCGGGACTGGTTGTTGCCTTTGTTATTTTTTTTCCCCAGTGAGTACCCGGATGTATAGCAGAAATCTAGACTAGTTCGCGACCTCTGTTGCGCCATTCGTAAGCGCATTAATCACTTTTATGGGTAGTAATAAGGGCGTATGGTCACATTGATCAACAAAATAAAACACAGTTTTCGAGATAATAAGGAAATGTAGGTATCTTTGAGTGTAGCATCGGTAATGGTGATGAAGTTTTGATAAGTCACTTGCTTGGTAATTTTGCGATTTTCGTTTACACTATTTTGACTTGCAACACAAAGTTAATATTTCACCTGAGCCTTGCTTTTTTTATAGTGTGTATATTTTTTACTGTCAAAATGTGTAACATTTTCAAATTTATTAAACGCCTAAATATTCAGTTATTTTACAAAGTGACTGAAAAACATTTCCATCTGTATTATTATGATAACGAATTCCAAACATTTTGATGTTTAATGTATTCACCAAGAGACTGAAAATGTTACGTTGAAAAGTACATTTCTATGTTGTTTGGCTTCTAATCCTACATAATAATCTGTTGCGATGTTTGTAGGCCCTTTTGATCATCTTAATCAATCTGGACAGATTTTTTAGTCAAAATGACTGAAATATTTACACATTTTATAAATTGCCTGAGAGAATGACATTTTACAAATTGACAGTAATGTATACACGTTTACAAAGGAAAATACCTGTGAAAACAACGTCTATCGCGCATTGAAGAATTTCCCAACCAATACGTAGAGAAACAAGGACGAATCGGTTCAATGCTACAGCAAATGAAGGAAAACAAAATGCAAATACCATAATTACAACCTACCAAATTTATGTGTATAAATTTTAGGCAGTTTCCTTGTTCGAGGAATGTATCCGTGAATATCCACACAAAGGAACAATATCCCACTCATCTGCAGCTGTACAAAGAAACTTATTCGATGTCTGACTGTCACGTATCTCCGTAACAATCAAATATTTTAAAACATATATATCGTTTCGGGATATTATAACCTGCGTTCGTTTCTCAACTGACCACGTGACAACTATTTTCCTGACGTCCACGGTTCCTAAAATTTCCATTGAGTGATAGATAACAATGATCAATCAATCAATCAACGTATTATCAGTTAACCCTTTAAACAAAGTATGTTGTTTTTACATCGGCACTTCACACCATGATATGAGTGTATTCCCTTTGTTTTAGTAAACCTAGACATGTAAACACTCACTTTTGACATATCCACTGTGCAAGATAACAGGGATTAATCAATCAACATATTTTCTGTTAATCCTTTGATGAATAGGAACGATCCGTTGATTTACAAAAAAAAAGTAAATCAACTGATCATTCACCTCTTGCTGGGCTGCCACGTGCATATTACATAACCATGATAACACACATATCACCTCACTTCAAACATTGATTTAGATTGAATAATTACCCCAGACACAATAAATGCCAAATGGGAACCTTTGTCAGGTAATCTAAGTGGTGCTACCACTAATTATACCTGTAATAAATTCATTAACTGAGCATCAAGTGAATGACGACAAATACACACAAGTGTAGGGTTATACGAGAAAACGTGGATGAGAACAAGGGAGTAATAATCGTATTATCGATGCGATCCGAAATCCGAAAATGCTTTCACTGCATGGATACTTTTTTTAGTATTTAAACTATAACCATCTTGGGTTTTTCACAATGATGACATCCGATGAGCTCCGTTCTTTTTGTCTGTTTGTTTAGGCTGAAGAAATTAATTAACATGCGCCCTATGTCGAAATCTTTATAGATCACAGTTAACCAATCAGTGTTTATGCAAAAATGCGTAAAACAAATATTGCCTCCAGCCTCCAAGTTTATTTAGCTGTCCTTCCAGACGGTAGCCCAATCTCTGGTCACGCTCAGTTGCGTTGCGTATCATCCGGGTACTCACAGGGGAAAAAACAATAACAAAGGCAACAACCAGTCCGGGGAATTGCGTTAGATCAGTGCCCCTTTAAATTGCGACAATTTTTCCACCATTAAGTTTAGCAGACTGCTGCAGTTGAAAGCCATGAAATAGTGTGCTTACCAACTAGGTTCCACTACATGATACCGAAACAGATATGAATCGCCAGCCTGGGGCATGATATAGCATCATCAAGGGACGAGTGAGTGAGTGAGTTGTGTTTAACGCCGCTTTTAACAGTATTACAGTTATATCACGGCGTGTCAGCTTAATGTGGGAGGAAAGCCTGAAGTGATGCAGCTCTTCGATGTTTACCACTTCGGTGAAACCCACGAGCATGGGTATGGTGCTGACAAACCTAGAAACAAACCAGGATTCGAACCCATAATTATAGGTTTCTGGCTTGCCCAAGGGACGCAACTCTGCACAGCGAATCGCAGCGCCTTAGACGACTGGGCCACCCGTGCCCCCATCGTGGAACGAACAGTGGTCGTTTTGTTTGACTGCAGTATGCTGCTAAATGCCATGCACTGAGAATCTGGTGTATATATGGTATAAAACTCTTTAAGGATCGCTCATGCCTGTGTCCAGAGACACATAATGCCTACTGACAACTCTGGGGCTGCTGTGTCACGGACACAGTGGTTTGAATATGTCTGTTAAAAACCCCACGACATGAGACATAGTTTTGCCATATTTCTTCCCATGTAACCACGATATGGCTGAAATACTGCCGATGTGACGTTAAATCTTAACTCACTCACTCACTCTTCCCATGTAATGATATTACGGTGTTACCAAGGATACATTAGATCATGGGGAGGTAATTTGAACAGCGCAATGATGCCATCCCATTACAAAGTAATTAATAAAATGTACTTTACCACAGAATCACCACAAGAAACAATTTGTTGCTAATTTCTGTTCAAGAATATATATTTCTTGTGGGATATAGCAGATTTTGCACACTTTGATGTATCAGAGGTATATTAACAGGAAGATGGGCATTCTTTTTCTTCACAGGAAATTCATCATCCTTTGAACCTCCTCCAAATTGGACTAAAACAAGTTCAGACTGTGAAAATGTTCTTGTTGATACGAATTCCACTGAGTATCAAACACTTGTGCAAAGTTTCTGGAATAGTGTTGGATCACAAAGAACTATCATAAAGGTAAGAATAAACGCACATGTACTAATATACTCAACAACAAAAGTTTCTGTGACACCAATATTTTAGTGTATTTTTCAAACAAGTAAAGTTTGGTTTTCAATATTGTAGTACATTTATGGAATCAAGTGCAACTGCTACAGAGAAGCATGCATTCCATGCAAAAGTTGACTTTTATGCATGCCCCATGCATTTTACTACACAAGAAGGGGTATAAAAACGTGTGTTAACCGGATTCCATATGCATTGTTTAGCATCGTGCTGACAACAACCACTCAGAAATACAACAAAATTATGCAATTATTCAACATTACAAAATGCCACACCTATTCGAAAATGAGCGCCTACGACCCATTGGTATGCTTGAAGCAGGATCGAGTCAACGTGATGTTGCAAGACAATTTAATGTCCACGGCAACGTTGGAAACAGACGAATGCAGTCAGAGACCATCCTCAGAGTGGCAGGCCACGTGTAACCAATAATCAACAAGACAACTGGATTCGAACAACACACCTACGAAATCGATTCCAGCAACAGTGACTGGAAGAAGCATCCCTGGCCTTCGATGAATATCATCACAAACCGTACGTCTTCGCCTCAGATGTGCAGGGATTGTTGCCAGAAGACCCGCCAGATGTCCCATTTTGACAGGAAACCACCGTCAAGCACGTCTACGCTGGACGGCCATGCAGTGGGGACAAGTTCTATTCACTGACGAGTCTTGTTATCACCTCAGCCACAGCAATGGATGGATTTGAGTGTACCGACGTCGAGGTGAACGTTATGTCAATCATTGTGTCATGGAAGAAGATCAGTTCGGGGACGGCAGCGTTATGGTATGGGGTGGGATTACAGCAAGACAGAGGACCCGTTTGATAGTGGTAGAGGGAACTCTCAATGGACAGCGCTACCGCGATGAGATCATCAGGCCTGTTGTTCTGCAGTTTTTGCATCGTCATGGCCTAGGCATTACCTTCCAACATGACAACGCCCATCCTCATATTGCTCAACGTGTTCAGGATTCTCTTCAACAAAATAACGTGAATGTCATCCCCTGGCTGGCTTGCTTCCCTGATCTCTCACCAATCGAGGACATGTGGGATGAGATGGATTGGCGCCTTCGACATCAACCACTGATTCCACAGACACTCCAGGAACTTCGAAACATGCTCCAGCAGATATTGACAGATATCCCACAGGACTTTGTGCGACGACTGGTCCATTCCATGAGACGAAGATGTGCTGCTTGCATCGCAACCAAAGTGGACACACACACCATTGATTTGTAAATTGACATTTTGGCATGTTCATGTTTTTTTATGAAATCACGCATTTTATGAAGTTAGTATGGCAAATTACACCATTTGAACACTTACAGGAGTCTTTTATCTGTTGCTAACAGAAATTGCTTCAGATTTGGTAAAAAACATAACTTTGCATTAAATCTTATTCAATGTCACAGGAACTTTTGTTGTTCAGTATATATATATGTGAAAACCAATTTAAGTGGATGTTGCTTGCCAATATGTAATTCTTCAGTGTCGACATTGAATAACATGTGCCAAAAACATGGTGTCTCTTCTATCACTTTGTCATCTGTCATCAACATGTTCTCTTTTCTCAGAAATCCTGTTCTGACAACACTGAATAATATTAGGCTAAAACAATAATAGTCTTGGTTCTCAGGCAGGCCCCACATCATCATAAAGTCTGCTGCATGTTTCGTTAGTATTTCCATTTTCAAGAACAAAACAAATTCCTTAAATATTCCACGTCTCGAACACCGAAGATGCTCGATACTTAAAAACAGTACGATCCAATAAATGTGTGCAGTTACTTCCCTTGACATGCACACTGCTTTACTGTGCATCTTGTGTTATGGTCATGGCGGCAACAGGAGTTTGTGTGCTTGTTTTGTTCTTTGCAAATTTGGTCAATGAAAACATGAAGTCAATGGTATTTGTGTACTGTATGCCAGACCATCTTTCATATGCAGAAATTAAGATTACATGTGTAGTTAGTTCCCTTGTAATATAAGCTGGAAATAGCTATCAGCTGTTCACAGCTATGGGTCATTTTGTTTTAAAAATTCTTATTGTCATGGCCAATATCATGATTGAAAAGAAATTTCAGTACAATGAAAGGAAGACTGAAGACTTTGTATCTCTAACGACTAATATTTGTTTCAAGGCGTGTTCATCGAGTTTGTGATTTGCAAAGTAGTTCATACAAGATTTCAATGAAATTAATGTAATCAAAATTGAATGGAATCTTTGATAAAAGTAATACCCGGGTATAAGGGATTACAACGTATATCCAGACACACAATCAACACTTTTATAGCCAGATAGTGTAATAACAGAACTACAAAGTGTACTTCCGTACGGATTTGTTGACACTGGTAGTCAAACGGTATTCCAGTATTTTACTCATCAAGGAATACCGGGTACATTTATGTAGGGAGGCTTATTTTCAGATTGATTGTACACAACTGTTCATTTGGCTACATACTAGTTTGAACAAACAAACAAAAAAAGCCACCCGCCGTCACTATATTTTCAAATGACATTGCCCGAGAACCAATTCTTTCATTTTCTAAGCCTTAATAATTAGATATTCATCCAAAAAATTTGAAAGTGTCAAGCAGAAGTCATTTTAGTTTAATGGTTTTTTAAAATATTTTTAACAAACTGTTTTAAGGCATCCATGTACATTAAAAGTCAACGTATATGATTCACTCAAACTTTAATGTTTTGATAGGTCAACATATCTGGGATATGTTACGGAGGCATGAAAGAAGATTTTTCTTCATCTGTGTGTTGTTGGACAATAAGATTGCGTGAAATGTGATGTTTGGCAATGAGACAGACAGAGATGAAACTCTAATTATTTTAATTATGATGGCCTAAATTGAAAGTAACTCCTGTAGCCTTGAGATTGTTTGGGTGCTGTTTTGTTCTATTCGATGTTGTTTTGTTCTATTCGGTGTTGTTTCGTCAGTGGTTGTAGTGCTGCAATATAGCGCTGGGACGGACCCGGATACCCTAAGGGACTACCCGGACCTGTGATTAGTCGCGTGATATATTGTAAATGACAAAAATTGTCTAAAACTCTATGCTTACACGATAAGTCAATAGTGTTCCAGTTTCTTTCTGACTGTGAATCCCATCCCTTCTGTCTTTTATATGTTTGAATAAAGATAAAACTTCATGCAGTAAACTTCAGTGTATGCAAGACCAGATCCTTTTACACGTGTATCTAAATACATTTTGCCAGGGCTACGATCAAACTTTTCCAAATCGGACAGTTTGTACCCATCTCTTGATATCTACAGCAGGTACCCGGGTAGGGTTTGGGTTCCTGGGTAGTGGGTACCTGGGTCCCGTTCCACAAAGCGATCGTAGCGGTAAGACGATCGTAACTCCCATACTTTAACATAGACTTACGACAGTCTTATCGCTAAGATCGCTTTGTGGAACGGGGCCCTTGGTCGTAAATTTGGACTCGTCCCAGGCCTACTGCAAGCACATGTGTCAGTCTATCACTCTTAAACATGACGAATAGTAGAATTTAAGTCCAAATGAAAATTTATTTCTACTGGTTGCTGATGGGTCATTGGAATAATGGGTCCTAAACAGTTTCCAAACCATAATGTCACTTAACCATGTTGTTATGTGAGTTCCTAGACTTATCATGATGTAACTGTCACCATGGTATTTATAGAATAATGTATTTACAGTTTAACAAACCGTGAACTAAATCTGATACAGGCCTCATCATGTTTGGAGTGAATGCTCTCATTCTATCTTTCATATTATGTCGGGCTTGATTCTTCTTGTGTTTTAGGTTGAACGGATTCAGACCAAGTTCCTGTGGCAGCAGTATCTAGCCAAGCAGCAGCAGCTTGACAGGCAGAACCCTCCTGGACATAAGAACGAAATGATACTGTGGCATGGGACAGCACCTGATGCTATTCCTAGCATCTGTAAAGGGGGATTCAACAGGAGCTACTGTGGAAAAAATGGTAAGTACTTTCCAGTGATATTGCCATGCATATTATTTCTATTTGTCAGGTCATGTGATTTGGGCGTATTTTGATTTTGATCCAGCTACCACCTTTGACTCCACCTGTCCTTGATTTTTTATGAGTTTTCAACATTGCCAGTCCAACAACAAGGCCTATGAAGCTGTTGCATCAGTGATCTTAAGTAGCTATGTTGTCTGTATATTGTCCAGGCATTGATTCACCATCCTACGCTTTGTGATACTGTAAATCTTGAAATTGACGAGAGCGTGAATTAAATTCGAAAAATGTGAGTGGTGTTTGTTCGCATTAAGTAACTTCACATTTTGTCTCAAAATGACTATCAACAATAAGACAACCTCAGTGCACACTTTGGATAGCCGAAATGCCAACTTGAATATAAACACAAACACAGTTTATTGAGCAGCAGTTGTAACAAGTATATAACAATGTTATTCAAAGAATAGGAATTACACAATGGGCAGCCAGTCAGTTATCACTGCTGGGGTCAAGAGTTCTTCCCACTCGTGTCAAGCTTGTTGACACCTTCTCCGCATACCAATCAGTGAACTGTTGTTGGTTCAATTACTTTATTGCCTTTGAACATCCTTAATGCTCTACTCATAGCACATACGCGGTGCTATTTGCTGTTTGATTGGATTAAGGTAAGGTTGGATTAAGGTAAGGATATGTATCACTCCCCTGGGGATGGGGTTGGGGGAGTCACATTGATATTGAATCGCATTTTTGGCACCAGCACTTATATTAATTTGGAGAAGCATTGATTTCCAAATTTACGGCATTGGATGAAAGAGCAAAACGAGTTCAAACATGTCAAAACTACAGAAGGCTGGCCTGCATTTTGGTCAAAATGACCGTTAAAACTTTTGCAGGTCAAAGTGAAAACACCCACTGCCTTGTCAGTCAGTAAAATTCCCAAATTGGAATTAACAATTTCCCAATTCAGTGGCAATACAGTTATGACGGTTGCTATGGCCTTGTAGAGATGACTTGTGTTTCCTGATAACAGAAACAATAAGCAGTTTTAATGCATAGTTTTACATTATTGCACTGATTGTTTCAATGTCTCTTTATTTAGGAAATTATAAATAACATTAGAAAAATCCCAGTTTTGAACAAGATAATGATTATTTGCTCAATTTGCCCGCCCAGGGCACTTAGTTTAAAATCCCAGGGAAATCCATGAAGAAGGGTCTCTTTCTTGTGATGGACTTCTTAAAATGTACATGACTCCCCCCGTAACTGACACTGACCTTTGCAGTGGAAAGAACTGCACATTTGATGAAATTTGGCATGCATATTCTTTCTAATGAAGATAAAAAATACAAAAGTTTTAAAATCTGATTCCAAGGCTAAAATAATACTCTTGGTTCTCAGGCAGGATGCATCATCATAAAGTCTGCCACACTGTTTGGTTTTATTTTCATTTTCAAAACAATCACAATATCCCACTGTTTTACTGCGCATCTGGTGTTATGGATGTGTTGGCAATAGGAGTTTGTGTGCTTGTTTTGCCGTTTCCAAATTTGGTCAATGAAAACATGAAATTTACAATATAACGTCACTGGACATGATGATTTACAAATTCAATGGTATTTGTGTACTGCATGCCGGACAATGTTCCATACTCAGAGATTAAAATTACATGTGTATTTGTATCGTAAGAAAAGCCGAAAATAGCAACCAGCTGTTCACATATTTTCTCCCCAATCCAAGAGTGATTTGGTTTTAAAAATACTCAATATCATGGCCAATATCATAACAAGAAATTTCAATATAGGAAGACTGAAGACTTTGTATCCGTAACGACTAATGTTCGTTTCAAGTAAATCAAGTTAACCTGTGCTTATTGATAGATCCTCATAACAGACATTGTTTTGTAACCAGCCTATCAGTATATAATGCCAAGGTCAAAGTTCAGTTAATAATGACTAAAACTGGTTGTGAGCAGATATTGTTTGATCTGAATGAAATTATCGGTGTTGAGAGATGATGGATGGGTGTTCAATGACTCCTGACAAATGTATTTATCATTACAGCAACAGCACATGGAGATGGAGTGTACTTTGCTGTGAATGCAAAGTACTCCGCCTCCAGCACCTACTCTGTACCTGATCAGCAAGGCTACAAGTACATGTTCCAGGCAAGAGTGTTGACAGGCGTGACCACACGAGGTCAGCGTGGAATGAGAGTCCCACCAATTAGAGATCCAGCTAATCACATCAACTTTGATGCTGTCACGGGACCTGACATGTTCATCATATTCAATGATACCCAGGCATACCCAGAATACCTTATTACCTTCCAGTAATTCTAGTACATTGTAGTACTTTCTTGAAAGGGTGATGGCATGCAATTGTTAGTGATTTATGTACACTGTGATAAAGTTATAGGATCAATATTGATAAGTTTGATTGCAGTTTTTACCATCTGACACACTGGGTCCTCATTTAATATTTATGACAATACAAAACACATGAAGTAATTAATGTTAAAACTTCCTAGCGACAATACATTCTCCTGTATTAGTATTATTATCCCCCGCCGCGCGAAAGCGCGAAGCGGGGGATATAGTATTCACGACCGTCCGTACGTCCGTCCGTACGTCCCACCTGTTTGTTGCCGCGATATCTCAAGAACTAAACACTGGATTGTCTTCATATTTGGAACTATGGTGTATATACAGACTCCGCAGACACCAGTCGGTTTTGGTGACCTTGATCCCATTTTCAAGGTCACAGCAGACAAATCTGCTTTTAGAGTTGGAAAACGGTGTTGCCGCGATATCTCAAGAACTAAACACTGGATTGTCTTCATATTTGGAACTATGGTGTATATACAGACTCCGCAGACACCAGTCGGTTTTGGTGACCTTGATCCCATTTTCAAGGTCACAGCAGACAAATCTGCTTTTAGAGTTGGAAAACGGTGTTGCCGCGATATCTCAAGAACTAAACACTGGATTGTCTTCATATTTGGAACTATGGTGTATATACAGACACCGCAGACACCAGTCGGTTTTGGTGACCTTGACCCCATTTTCAAGGTCACAGCAGGCAAATCTGCTTTTGGAGTTGGAAAACGGTGTTGCCGCGATATCTCAAGAACTAAACACTGGATTGTCTTCATATTTGGAACTCTAGTGTATATACAGACTTCGCAGACACCAGTCGGTTTTGGTGACCTTGATCCCATTTTCAAGGTCACAGCAGGCAAATCTGCTTTTAGAGTTGGAAAACGGTGTTGCCGCGATATCTCAAGAACTAAACCTCTTGATTGTCTTCATATTTGGAACTATGGTGTATATACAGACACCGCAGACACCACTCGGTTTTGGTGACCTTGACCCCATTTTCAAGGTCACAGCAGGCAAATCTGCTTTTGGAGTTAGAAAACGGTGTTGCCCCGATATCTCAAGAACTAATCGCTGGATTGTCTTCATATTTGGAACTATAGTGTATATACAGACACCGCATACACCTGTCAGATTTGGTGACCTTGACCCCATTTTCAAGGTCACAGCAGGCAAATCTGTTTTTGGAGTTGGAAAACGGTGTTGCCACAATATCTCAAGAACTAATCGCTGGATTGTCTTCATATTTGGTACTATGGTGTATATGGCGGGGGATATTTCGTCACTCTGTGACAAATACTTGTTATATGTGGTCTGCGTAACTACTTAAGTAGCTCCTGTAAGAGGGGCCAGCTTAATGTGTTCGCTCAAATTTGAGCTCTGCCACCACCACAACTTAGGACAGGTATGATTGGATGACCTTGAAGGTCAATGGCCCAGTGTGAACTTGGTATCAACAAGCCTGTACAAGATAACACAAGTATTTACAGATGGAATTTAACAAAACTTATTCATGATTTCTAAAGTGGGGTCTTGATCGCATCAAATGTGTGGATGATTTCCATCTAAGCTAGGTCAAGGTCACTAGAGGTCAAATTATGAAACATGGTTCAAATTTCATGAAATTTCGTAAGTTATCAGTTAAAATGAAGTCAAAGTAATTAAAATGAAGTAACTCAACACCTATCATATGTCATGACTGTGTCAAATGGCAAGGTCACTTTGAAGGTTGTAGACACATGAAATGACTTGTAAATAGTTTCATTCAATAATTATTGTTAGTAGGGTAGGGATACCTTTTTTAACACAACCATCATTGTAGTAATGATCTTGCATGTGATTGGATGATGTTAAAGGTCAAGGGCATTTGTTGGAAAATAGATGTCCCTAAAAACTTGTGTGTAGACAACGTCTTGAACATTAATGATTGGAAATTACAAAAAAACTCTATTTAAATGACCTCCAGAGATAAAGGCCAAAGTCATTGGACCCAGGAGTGCTTTTTAACTTTGTTATTAAGGTAGCTAGAGGCATGGGACTGTCTGTTTCAAATTTTTGCTGAACTAACAATGTGTTTTCCTCAACGGAAGTGATGTTATTAAACTGAAAGTGATGTAGGTAGTCAAAATGGTTCATGATAATGTTTCTGATGGGAAGGCTTAAGGGAAATGGTGGTGATGGTGCTGCTTCTGTTGTTGCATGGAATGCAAAAATCTTTCTAAATATTTGAAAATTGGCTTTCACTGTGACTGTGTATATCTCGAGGGATGTAGTGCTAGATCTATACCTGTGACTATGTTTACTCTTGACAGCCATCCAACAATCAACTGTATCCTGGAATAGAATAGTTCCTCAAAATGAGAGGTGATTGAGCGTATGTATGCTCAATTTGCTTGACAGGAACATCTGTTGTAGTTTGTTTACAAGTAATGTATTCAAATAATATCATCATTGGGTGAGAAAGGCCTTTTAAGAACTACCTCAGTAAGTCAGTCACAATGACAGCACGTCGTAATACATTTGCATTAAGTACAAGACGTCAAAATGGCCGACACAAGAAATGAGACAGGAGAGATTTCCCAAGTTGTTAATGAATCTGTGGCGGTTACATGTGTTGGTCATCATTGGTCAGTTGGCCGATCACTGAAAGGTGATTATGAAGATGTGTCAAGTAGATACTAAGGTAAATTCATAGATTGCTGTGGACTGTAACTGTCAGTCTAGACACTGATCGAGTCGATACTACAATAGTTCATGTGCATTTCTTCGTTTTGTTAACTAGGATGGGTCTTAGCGAGGATATTTGTGAACAATCATGCAGTCAAACTCCCTGTTATTTTCTCAATGTATGCTAAAACACTGAGGTCAAGGTGAAAGGATCTCATTGATCAGAAACAATGCTTCTGTATGTATTCGTGCAAGGGAATTCCCCGTAGTTTATCAGGAATCTGTCAGTCTTTATGTCATTTCAAGAATACAGGCTCCTGAAAAACGTATGAATCTAAAAAAATTGTGTCGTTCAGGTGCTTGTGAACGTCAGTTTCACGGTCTCTCCAGCGATGATCAGCAAAATTGCCTGATGCAAGCGGGAATTTTACAACCGCTTCTAGCAAGAACTCTTGCACTAATGTACAACAGAAGACAAAGTGTAGGTTAATCTATTCACCCTCCACCAGCCCATAACACTCTATAATATTTGTATAACTTTATATGTAATTACTGTGTGCTATTTTATGAAAACATGTTTTTATAACTTTGTATATAATGTGTCTCATAGGCCATAGGTTATGAAATGTCCTTTGAAAACTGGCTACTGAAATTTTAACAGTTGATCAAAATGTAAAAGAAGTCAAAATTAAAAATAAAAATTCATAAAGAATCACGTTTGATAGGATAGGACTCCCCCACCCCCTTTCATCTTGTTTGTAATACTGTGACTGTAATACTGTGACTGTAATACTGTGATTGTTATACTGTGACTGTAATACTGTGACTGTAATACTGTGACTGTAATACTGTGATTGTAATACTGTGACTGTAATACTGTGACTGTAATACTGTGATTGTAATACTGTGACTGTAATACTGTGACTGTAATACTGTGACTGTAATACTGTGACTGTAATACTGTGGTCAGGAAACATATTTTGATTTGTGGTTGTTCAAAGTTTAACCAATCACAAGCTATGCTACTAACCAAACTTTGACTGCCCCTGTCAAACATTGTTGGGACGGTGAACGTTTCCGCTTCTACTTTGACAATTTGACTCTGAGTATGATTTTTCGACACGTCCAAATCGTCTCAACAATTTGGGGGATGGAAACCTGGCCCTGCTCTTTAGCCTAAAATGAGTCGTAAGGGGAATGGGAGCAAAATTGGGAGTCCGGAAAACAGGTCAGGAACAGAAATTTCTTCCAAAATGATCAGTATGTATGATTGCTGACAATTTAGGAATGTTTTGCAATGTCTGTTATACATGCTATGGACCACTTATGAAAAATATTGCAAAGGACCATTCATCACAGATTGCAGTAACATAACCTGCAGCCATTTTTAATAAGTTTACTCTGACTATTTGAATAAAAACTAGATTGACGAAACAGATTGAGATTCAGAATATCAGATCAATACTATGATACAACTACTATCTTGTCACTGGATTAAGATTTAATATTAGACTCCTGTTTTGCAATTTGGTTGACATAATTAGTACTTTTTTAGAATCACATTTCTGGGGAAAAAACTGACTTGTTCATTTTAAAGGCTAACTAGCCCGTCTGGCCAGGCATATTTTGAGGCAACTTTACACACTTGTTAATTGGTACAATTTCATCAGAAGCTATAAGGCTGACTACTTAATCAAGTCAGTCACTGAAAAATACAGTGCAGCAGTTAAATGTACATTTGGTTACGTTTTTAGATTTCATTGATGTTAATTTTTAATGTTTCCCCTTTATAGTAATTATACAATCCTGAAAATCTTTTTTGTTTCCTCTATGTCAACTTGAATGTTGCATGTTTAAGTAAATGCACACATTTTAATGTATTCTTGTATTTATTCTAGGGACATAATTTGCTCTTTGTTGTATTGTCAATTGTTTTTAGTCCTTTTGACTTTGTATTTTAAAAATCAACTAGTTACATACCACTTATATATATCAGTTATTACAGTATAGTTTTAGTCGAGTGTGACCATGTTCATTTTAGGCATAGGCACATGTAAGGTTGAAATGTAGTCTTTTCAAATATGATATAAGTCCATTTATACCAGACATTATGATCTGGATATAATATAGACCACACATTTCTTTTCGGATGAAAAGTGGAGATGAAGCATGATATATCTTGCTCGCTCACAGACTCCCACACACCCACAAAAGCAAAATTTTGAATTCATTTTCAGTGTAATTTATTTCTCCTTCTCACAAAGTCTTTCTTCATAGGGTATGTCATGGTGTCTTCAGTATTTAAAGCCAGTTTGAGGTTGCTGCATTCGAAGCATGATAAAATCCTTCTTATATAAAGAGGCATAGAAACTTAAGGGATTTGAAATGATTATGAGAATATGAATTTGATAGATTGTTGACTTTGCTGTACCAGGTTTGTTGTAGGTTGTCAAAAAATATGTGTTTGAACATAAATATCTTGAATTTATCACCTCTATCCTTGGACATCATAAA